TGCGATCACGTAGCGGCGCAGCAGCCAGCAATCTGGGTATACGAGGCAGATGTACAACAATATGTACAGTTGATGATAGTCTTTGAACCGACTTTATCACAGCCCCTCAACAGCGATTCGAAAATAGGAAACACAATGATCCGAGGGAATGCTCGAAAATAATATTAGGACGCAAAGGCCCATGGGAATGTCACTAAAACTATCTGTACCAGTGTAGGTAAGTACCAATGTGAAAATGCTGTGCTGAGTGGTTATATTACTATCTTAAAAAACAAGCAGAAACTCGACGTTTCGAGCGAAGGCCCTTCGTCAAGAGTTTCTGCTTGTTTTTTAAGGTAGTAATATAACCACTCAGCACAGCATTTTCACCATGGGAATGTCCTTGGTAAAACGAGTTTCACGCACCTTTCACATTCAACACATTGAATCATCAAGTCATCTACTTTATACAAAGTTTTACAGATTGGACAGGTAGTTAGGCTGGCACAAGGTCCACACAAGGTATAATTCGACATCCATTTACATGACTTGCCAGGTGTTGTCCTCGAGCACAGGGTACACACCACACACCTGGATACAAAGTGATAAAGAATTTAGATAAGAATTCGGATGGTTTACGAATTTAGATAAGATGATATTTTGTCTTTATTACAGACATCGTCACTTGTCCCCAGTCAACCTGGCGCGTGGCAAGATCTGTCCTAGCAGGGCTCGTCTCATATACTAACACACAATGATTTTAGTCATGCGTATATATAACTTAGGTACATTTTCCTGGCCAAGGTCATTTACATACACACATGCTTGACAAACACATCGCTATATATTGGCAACTTGGTTAATGCTAAAATATGTACTTTTGCTCAATCGATCAAAAGCAACTATGTTTTTTGGTAGTTGTTTTTTGAACGTGACGAAGGACAATACTTTTTATATTGCATACACGTTCATTGAGTTTCCAAAGCCTGTTGTCTACGATACATGCCAACATACCATTTACATTTCCATCCTCCGTGAGGTACATGATCAAGAGGTGGATCCAAACAATATGTATGATAACTAATATCACAACTATCACATAACAACAACCGGGCTTCATCGCTTCCTTTGCCACATCCTTCACAGAATGTACAGTCCAAACATCGCCAACCTTTTGCGATTATCACTTTGTTGATCTAAAATAAAAGATAATATATGAACTCTGATTTGGCTGTCAGTAACAGTTTGCCAACTTGAAGTCAGATTTCGATTCGCTCGTGGATATCGTGACCGAATCAGTGTCACCGTTGTGAGATTACCTGGACCTATCTTGCCTTTTGTGTGCTGTATGTAAATCAGTCTTTGCTGCATGGTTACAGAGGTATATTGAGACTGACACTCTTAACTATATTATATTACATGTGAAATAGTCTCGATCTATCTTGCCTTTCGTGTGTTGTGACTTGTGCGCAAATAAATTTGAAATTGGTATTCATCTATGAAAGTGTTCTATAGGAAATATTGACCATATAACATTTCGCAGACTCTAAGTACAAATTCATGGAGCATTTCGCAGACTCTAAGTACAAATTCATGGAGTATGCGACGCAGGCTATACTGGAAACAAAACAACTACAATATAAATGAAAATCCATTGATCTGAATTTAACATTTCGGCATAATTCTTTCAAATGCGGAAGCCGCATGCATGTTTACAAAAATACAAAGCAGAGATCTGACCAATTAAAATGCAAGTTTCATAACAGCAGCGGGATTGATGAATGCTAATGTGTAGTTTATATTATTCATTAACCCCAACGGGAGATAGAAAAGAAGCAACACACGAGGCACTCACTATATAATAACGTTGAAAATTGAAACGGATGGGAGTGCGGAAAACGTCGTTCTCCTTAACGTCGAATACACTGGAATCGTCCAGCTCTTAAAAATCACAAGTGCCATCACTGTCATGATAATTTTGAATGGGGAAATGAAGATTGAGGAAGAATATGGTGATATGAGCTGGTAAGCGTTAAAGTGAAACTGCTGAATGTCAGGAAATAACAGCTAAGCAAGAATTCAAGACACAACAAAATCTATCAAACAACGGTTAAACAACGATGGACGTGAAGAAGTCGAACGAAACATTTATGATTTGCGAGTTTACAGGTATAGATACTTCATATTTGTATACGTGTACAGAAGTTTGTTCATTAGTGAAAAATAACCAATACGCATAAGGTTTCTAGCATGTCTGTTGAAGCTGAACAACAATAAAGCATTATGACAAACGATACGCTTCCTCGGCGGACTGCAAATTACAAAGCTATCATGTATACTTAAAAATGATAGCGTTAATATGTTCCGCTAAGGAAACCTTATTGTTTGTCATAGTACCACAAGTTTTAAACTTTGTTACGTTATCTGAGACTGGACGAACTCAAATTTGTCCGATATAATTTGCTCATGGGAATTCGTACGGTAGTCAAATTCAGGCGTTCCTTGTGAACTTGAAAGGGGAATTCGTGTATATTCAGTTCAGTAAAAAAAAAAGTACAATTCCAAACTCATCCGGTTTCGTGGTGAGAGGAACATTGGACGCCTGGTTAATTGGGACATTCAGAAATAGATTTTTCAACTTCATTTAGACTGCACAAGTTAGTTTTCGTACACTGCATGCTGAGGAAGCAAGCAATCCCAATTTCAGTCAGCCTATCTTCAGATTTGAAATCTTTCTTGCTCCGGGTTCACTTATCTCATGGCTCCGTTCCAACTGAATAACTTAGCATCTCAATTCTCAAGTTGGCTGCTCGCAGCCTGAATATTGTTTCGAAATTTCCGCTTTCAAAATTTCGGGCTGGGAGCAGGCTAAAGTCGGCCATCCCAATGGGCTATTTAATACTGCATTTAAAAACCGCACCTGCTTCCCTGTCAAGGACCTCTGCTTTCAGGATTTACCCCTCGGGATACATGTAACTGCATGCAGTGGCGAGGCTATAGAGGTCATATGTTTAAACCTAATCAGAGCAGCAGGCGGAAAAATGCAACCACGGCGTGGTGTATATAAATCCAAACTGGCAAACTTAGTGTACTCTTGTGCCCTCAATATTAAGTGCACAGATTCAAATGTTTCCATATTAATAAAAATCAGGGTTTTAGCTTTTGAATGACACCTTTCTTGTATCATTCCAAGCACAATTGACCAAATACGAGCCGATTCAAAATTGCCGATCAAAATCACATTTTTCTACCTTCGTGCATAAATTATTAAGCAGTACATAACAAAAGCCGAAAAGAAATTAACACTAATGTGTCTTGCCAAACAAGTGATCACATTTGTCAACAATTATTTAAGTTTATCCCATATCTTACTAATATGTTAGAGCTTTTGAAATTGATGAATTTTAGATCGAATGGAAAAATACGATTTCGACTGGCAACTTTTATTCAATTCCTATTCGGTCATTTTTCTTTATAATGACACAAAAAGGTACCATTGAACAGCCGAGTAAATTTTATTGCTATATAAAAAGTTTATCAATAAACTCGATATCTGACGCATGCGACCATGCTAGTTCATGCAAGTTCGATTGCCTTTTTTTGACACACCTAGCTGTATTATGCCCAAAAGTGGGAAAATGTGGTTTTGATCAGCAATTTTTAATCGGCTCGTATTTGGTCAATTGTCCTTGGAATGATACGAAAAAGGTGTCATTGAAAAGCTAAAACCCTAATTGTTTTATATGGAAAAATTAGATACATGCACTTAATATTGATGGCACAAGAGCACGCTAAAGTTGGATTACCTTTTTCATTGATAGACCCTGCATGTATATAGCCGGTTCTCTGGTAGGTATCGAACCTCCGCTGCAGCGCCCTAACCAACTGAGCTACAGTAAATATTAGGATTTTTTTGTTGTTGAACACTTATAGTTCAATCGAGTGAAATGCATTAAAATTGTTGATCTTTGGCTTTGTACGCATTCCAAGTAAAAGATCATATTACAGAAGTGTGTTAACATGTATACATGATAACATTTTCCTCTTTCTTCTGCCAATGTACCGACTATATTGAGGCTAAATTTTTAGTTGAAATATATAGTGAAATAAGATTGTAATTCATGAAATACGAATTTCAAAAGGATTGAAAATTTTCTTCTATATATAAAGAAAAAGTATTAAAAATTTTCCTCAATCACACACATGTTTGTTGTGGTCTTTGCATGAATTTCAACCCACACATCAATCGCTCTGGTAATTTTTCTCTCATTTTCTTCGATTACCTGTCTGAAATAATTGACTGGTAATGGTTAGCCTTGGAAATCGAGTTCCTCGACAGGGGAGTATTGGTATTAAATGAAATCCCTGGTGGGAACATTCAGATTTCATAGATTTTTTTTCTTCAAATTTTCAGAAATGATTCGGATTGCATTTTAAAACCACAAGTTTATGTTCAGTTGAAGTTGTAAAAGCAGTAGAAGTATATTGCATGCAGCTTCAATACGATTGTTTTCCTTGTCTGGATATAAAAGGAACGGTAGTACTGAAGTACTATCACGTGTTACAGGTATGTCACTCTTGTGTATAAACCATCATGCATGCGAGTACGGTTGACTGATTTCCTCAAAAATTAATATGACTATGAGATTTGTATAGCTTATGGGTTAACTAAACCGGGCGGCTGACTCGTTTCTTTCGCATCTTACTATGGCTTCAAATCTTGCGGGAAATAATCTTGAAAGAAATAGTCGATTTTAAGTTAGGTGCAAACTTTCCTTGAAATAGTTAAATCAAATCTTTTGTTGCGTCCAAGGAAAGACTTTCGTGACACTAATAAGCCCAGTTAGCCAGCACATATCAACAGCCCCTGACTGAGCAAGAAACGATTATCCGCCATAATGTAACTTTACAGAGTTCAGTCTATATCATAAAAATAACATCTATTATTCCTATGGTTTATATAAAACTATAATAGTTTTGCATGCAGGGAATCCAAATCGTTACCAGTGCATGCATACGCTTGTAATACAATTTTATCAGCATTGTTAAAACAGTTCAATTCATTTCCGCCCTAAACCAATACTCTATCTAAACCAATACTCTATCTAAACCAATACTCTATCTAAACAATACTCCCCATACTTTTCTTTTTAAAAAAAGTTTCACAAAATTTTTCTAAGTTTTACCTGGAGTCATTCGAACAACATTTTGTTTTGTGCAAAATTTGAACTTTTTAATTTCTTGCGACTAAACACGATCATCTTTGTGGAGAACTGCAGCATTGCAGTATACGAACCTCGAGCCCTAACCCTCGAGCTCTTAATTAAGGCCGTTTTCCAGTCCAAGCGTACTGTACCGTAACGTATCAAAACAAATTTTAAATTTCAAAATTTAGTGAATGTTGATTGGTTAATACTTCCATAGTACGCTAAAAAGTTGACTTGCGACGAACTTTTTATTTTTATACGCGAATCAACCGGAAGTACGTAAACTTGAAAACCCATCTTCAAACTGCGCATGCTCACCTGTACGTTATGGTACGACACTTCAATCGTATCGTATCGTATCGTAGCGTAGTTCTTCGTTTCCTGACCACTAGAGTGGAACTAATGACTTCGACACAAAAGAAAATGCTACCATACGTTACGATTGAACTCTCACCAGTCTCCCAAAACTCGGTCGTGGAACAAATGTGTGCAAACTTTGAGAAGCCATAGAATAGCGAGAATTCAACCGATTAAAAAATTTTTTCCAGTTTTGTACTCCGTAAATAGCGGTTATTTATTATATGAAAAAAGGGGGTTAGTGGCATTTTAAGGCCCCACAGTCCACTTCAGCCGTAACGTACCTTGGCATTTTCTTTTGTGTCGAAGTTTTTAGTTCCACTCTAGTGCTCAGGAAACAAAGAAATACGCTTCGTTGCGGTACGATTGAAGTCGAAAACGGCCTTCAGTCCAATATGGAATGTAAACGCTGAGCGCCGGCCGGGGCATAACCAGCACCGTATATACGTATGGTGTACAACCAGCAATTAAACTTTTTCGCGCACATGTATGCGTAGGGCTAGGGCACGAAAAAGTTTCATTTCATACAGTCGGCCTTTAGTTTAGACAATGCTGACATCTTAAAATCAACAATAACACTATCAAAATATTGACTTTGCCGACTTGCAAGTGCTATTAACCATTTATAGTAATCCGACGTATCCAGATCCCATTGAAACAATATACTGTATGCACTGGCATGTTATTGCGACAGAGTTGTTTGTCTGTCAATTATTTTATCTCCTCTTACACTGATGAAAGATTGTGTTTCAAGATCAAACAAATCGAACAGCAGTGAAATCCGTGGTTGAAGGAACAACCCATTTTGAACTGAAGCGTGACCAGATTATAATTCAACCAATCTAGCCTGCGACGCAGAATTTATGCGGCTATTAACTTTGAAGTTGTCTTGATTTATTTTATAATTATAACAAAGAATGACAGCTGTTACTTTAAGTAACATTATAACTCCTCTGTCTCGGTATTTCTCCACATGATAACTTGCTTGACTATAACAACCACAGCATATAAAAACATGAGTGCAGCAATACCAAGCGCTACAATAGCGTCTAGAAACCACAATTTTTCTGTAAACAGCAAAATGAGGGAAGACACCAACACGCTCAAACCAAGCAGTGCTCCACCGAAAGAATCTATTGTATCCGTCATAAGAGCTGAACTTCCTAACTTTCGAGATACTTTAAATTTGAGAACAGATAATACAGCATATAATGTCATTCCTACGGCAGCTACTATCACTGACACTCTTGCATTTGTGGCCTTTTCTTGACGTATCACAACCCCAACAGTTGGTACAATAATAGAAATTGCTGAAACAGCATTCACAAAAGCAACTCCAAGTGTTGTAATTGTTTCTTTTTGCTCCAAACTTACAGTTGTGAAAGTTGAAAATCTCCAAATCAACATCAGTGAGGATACAGCCTGAAGTAGGGCATCGAATGCAAACGCGAATATACTACAGCTTTTGGAGTCTGTGTAAGTCGCATAACTTACGCCAGTCAGAGACATTGCTACCAGTAGAGTGAGTACACACAGTAAGATTGCTATACTGTTTAGTTTTCGTAACTCAGCGGGCAAGAGTTTCTTCTTAGGTGGAAACAAAACATCGTCAAGGCACGAGACACATTCATAAGTTGTCGCATTCTTTTCGATATGCTTGGAATTCCTCTCCTCTTCACAAGGTTGTGGTGTAATTAGTGAACAATTCGCCAAAGGATCTTCGTCTTTCGACCACATGATCCAGGCTCTTGTCTCTCAACTATAGCCTATACTACTGTAGATGTGAAACTGTAGATGCGTGCAACTACATGTCTAGGTTTGCTAAGATTTATCACGCATGGCCGGCTGATACTGGCCCTTGACTACCTGATCACTCATTAGCAAACAGGTCAAAGGTGTGTCTTACAGCCTTCCGGTAGGAGTGCAAATATCAGGCTACTACTAAAAAGCGATACAGCGATACAACGATACAGCGATACAGGAACCGGAACCTGGAACGGGAACCTGGAACCGTGCATAAATTATGCAAATTAGAGCATTTTGCACCACAGGAGATATACATAATAATAATTTACAGGGGGGGGGCGCAATTCAATTGTCTAAAATATAGTCTAAAATATTATATGCAAGGCATTTTGATTTTTAAATTAAACAAAACAAAGAATGAACATCGTTGTAGCACTACATAGTAAAACATGTTTCGTAATTGCGCGGCGATTCTTCTTATCTGTTTTGATATGACTGCATGTGACGACGCACTCAGTTTATTTAGCCGCCGCACTTGACTACGAATTCCCAGCAGACAGAGGGAACCACGCACGCAAAGCAGATTGCGCTGAATTCAGCATGGAGTGTAGTCTATGATGCAATCCAACATTAAATATGCTATATAGACTGCGAATATCGCGAATATAAACTAATAGAATAAATATCAGCTGCATGCTGGCTAAAAATATCCGCTTGAAAATCAATCACAAACATAAATGAAGTTTATATGAAGGAGTCAATGTAAAAGATTCATTTAATAAATGAAAAATTGATTTGTCTGATTGAAATTCAGCGTCGAAAACATATAGATAACTTCATTGAAGTTTGGTCGCTTTAACAGCTTCTTCAATGTCAGATTTTGCTTTTATAATGTCGGAAACGGTACTTGATAGTACTATATTTAAACCACGATAATACAAAAATGTGACAAATATTGTAGCTATATCCAGTTAGTTGTGAGTAGCCTGTTACAAAAACAAGTTAAACTTAAAAGGGTGTACACATTATACGTACTGTTGAAGGCATAACAACAATATAGATTTATTTTTGATATTCTGTTATACTATTACTTATAGTTGCCTTTGGAGATTATATAATATAACGTTAGACCAGGAAAGGGGGAAATCTGAAATGTGACTCGACTCGGTTATATTAGGGTAAGAGACACGACTAATGAAGCGGATATCAGTTTTAGTCATGCAGCATATTCGCAATATTCGCGTATTCCGAATACGGCAGCGTATATAGCACATTCAGTGTTGGATTGCATCATACACTACATACACTACACTCTAATTATTTAGCGCACAATTGCTAGTGAATTCAGCGCAATTAGCCAATATGCTTTGCGTGCCGTAGTTTCCTTCTCTGTCTGTTGCATTTCGTAATCAAGTGCGGCGGCTAAATAAAGATCAATAAACTCAGTGCGTCACATGCAGTCGTATCAAAACAGACAAAAAGAATCGCCGCGCGCGCAATTACGAAACATGTTTTACTTCGTAATATATAGTGCTACAACGATGTTCATTCTTTGTTTTGTTTAATTTAAAAATCAAAATGCCTTGCATTATCTGACACTATTCTCCTTTGTTATATTAGTTTGTTTTTAAAATTTTTTAGGGTGGACTACTAGAAAAGCCCTGACGGGCTTGTTAGTCTTCCTTCCATATGAATTGTATCTTTATATTTTATCAAAACTGTAACTGTATAATGGAAAAAAAAAAAAAAATCTATATTGTATGTTAGACTATCATTGAATTGCGCCCCCCCTGTAAATTATTATTATGTATATCTCCTGTGGTGCAAAATGCTCTAATTTGCATAATTTATGCACGGTTCCAGGTTCCGGTTCCAGGTTCCGGTTCCTGTATCGCTGTATCGTTGTATCGCTGTATCGCTTTTTAGTAGTAGCCCAAATATCAGGAGTGAAAACGGCTACTACTAAAAAGCGATACAGCGATACAGGAACCGGAACCTGGGACCGTGCATAATTTATGCAAATTAGATCATTTTGCACCACAGGAGATATACATGATAATAATTTGCAGGGGGGGGGGACGCAATTCAAAGATAGTATCAAACATTATATGCAAATCATTTATTTTGATTTTTTCAGTAAACAAAACAAAGAATGAACATCGTTGTAACACTATATTACAAAGTAAAACATGCTTCATAATTGCGCGGCGATTCTTTTTGTCTGTTTTGATATGACTGCATGTGACGCACTTAGATTATTTTGCCGCCCGGCCGCACTTGATTATGAAACGAATTCAACATTGAATGTGCTATTTACCCTAAAAATATCCGCTTGAACATCAATCACAAACATGAATGAAGTTATGAAGGTAACTTCAATGTCAAAAATACATTTAATAATGAATAATATTCGCAATATTCGCGTGTTCGCAGCGTATACACCACATTCAATATTGGATTGCATCATAAACTGACTACACTCTTATTACTTTAGCGCACAATAAATTGCTGCTGAATTCAGCGCAATCTGCTTTGCGTGCCGTGGTTCCCTTCTCTGTCAGCTGGCATTTCATGATCAAGTGCGGCCGGGCGGCTAAATAAACTAAGTGTGTCACATGCAGTCATATCAAAACAGACAAAAAGAATCGCCGCGCAATTACGAAGCATGTTTTACTTCGTAATATAGTATACTACAACGATGTTCATTCTTTGTTTTGTTTACTGAAAAAATCAAAATAAATGCTTAGCATTTAATATTTTATACTATCTTTGAATTGCGCCCCCCCTGTAAATTATTATTATGTATATCTCCTGTGGTGCAAAATGCTCTAATTTGCATAATTTATGCACGGTTCCAGGTTCCGGTTCCAGGTTCCGGTTCCTGTATCGCTGTATCGTTGTATCGCTGTATCGCTTTTTAGTAGTAGCC